AAAAATCTTAGAAATTTGGGAGCACTGAAAAGCAGTTTCGTCGTCGTTATGGACTTCTCAGTAATTTACACCCGCTGCCCCATCAGGGATGGACTTACTGAAGTTCTAATAAGAAACAATCCCATGTAGGGTCAACTAAGTCAGGTATGAGGACAAATACTCTTCCATGGTACTGGATGATGTTTTCACCATATCGCTAACTCACTGAAGTAAACAAATGTGGACCATTGGATTTTGACCCAGTGTTTGAATGGGAACATGTACACCACGAGATCTGAGGGTCGTCAGTGTCCACTGCTGAGAGTCTCGGATCAATGCAAAACATGTGTCCAATGCTCCCAGGTTTTCAATGGTTCTCCAACTGGCGTCGCCTCATGATAAATAGTACCTTAAAATAAATATTTTTAGAAATGGTGGAGAATATTTGTAGTTCAGGTTGCTAACGTTTAGACCAAATTATTTTCTGAGCTGTGCTTTCAGTTAGCGAATGTTTCAGTGCCATGCTAGATACAGTAATTAGTGCTTGTTTTACTTCAACTTCCGCCTTCTGAACCCTAATAGTGTCCTGTTAAAGTCATGAAAGTGTGAAATTTCAACTTGGTTGCTTTTACACACAAAAATGTTCAGATCACAAATCGTGATATATCTAACTAACGGAGTGACTTCAAGAAAGAAAATAGAAGAACGACTGGTGCATACTAACAAATGGCTCCTTGAATAAATTTCAGTTCGACAGAACAATAAATATTTCAAATTGAGTTTGTATAATCATTTTGTCACTTCAAGTGTTTAGTATTTCATGGACAGAGCTCACAGTACCAGACAGCCTAATTTTTCTGGTGCAAGCTGGTCCATCTTTTCTCAACTAGACAACAAGCAACTTCCTAACACTCATGATTGTAGTGATGGGGAGTAGCAAAAAATACTTCCATTAAATGATTACTTATAAAAAGATTCGAGTCAAAGTTTCCTTATCATCTATTAAAGGTACAAATCACTTCTATGCTCTATCCCAACTCATATGCATAACCCCACTAAGCATTAAATCCATATTGATTTCTACAGAAATAGGCTTAAAAAAAACTAAAGCTTTATTCGTTCTTTTCAGAATATGCACACAATTGACATCGAAGTATTACCGTAGGTAAAACTATAAGTTGCTACTGGTTATTGAACTCCAAATAGACTTCGATTTATTATAATTTAGTTATCATCTGAACCATGTAAGGTAACAAATAGAAATTTGGAAAATGATTAAAGTATGTAAAAAAAAAGGTTTTTAAAAACGCTATAGTTTAATATTCAGGATCATCCTTGTATGAGAAATATAATTAGTGACGCGTAACGTGACATTTATGACTAGTAGTATACTGAAAATATGCTAAAATGTATGCCTCTCCAGTAAAAAAAAGGGGTTGAGGATGACTATTCCATCAAGATTATCGATTTTAGTTTGTTTAAGCACAGAACCACAAATTTAGAAGTGAAGAGGTAAGACGTGGGGCCTTAGTTAAAAAAGGTAAATCATTCAATGAAACTGCAGAATTTTATCGACTTAAATGGCTGAGACATTTGCTTCATGGGACTAATAACCACCCACCTAGGAATTTGACGTAGAAAAAAGTAGGATTAGGTTGAAATGACGATAACACTGATCGGACTTTGTCTCGGTTAGTTCTGTGTAGGGAAACTTAGGCTTCTGTGGTTTTATTAATATAAGTGAAAAACTTGGGCACTGTGGTAGAATGTAGTTCCATATTAGATTTGTTTATTTGATATAAAGCGCACAGTGATACAGTATTATTTACTTGATTACGTTTCGAGCATAAATTATTGCTCATAATCATATCAATGTAATCACACTTCTTTCGACATCTGATTTTATAGTCCTGTCACCTGATCTCTCTTTGTTTTTTGTTTTTTGATTGGTAGTAAAGTTTTCCATATCTCTGGTATAGGTGTTGCGTCATTCCTATTACATGTGTTGGGTGTGGATTCGATGAACAAAGATTCAGTAATTAATCTCTCTCTCCACCTAGCTATATTAGACTTAAGTACAGTGGTTTTGTCCCATCCTATTGTGTGGTTGTGTGTTAATGAATGTAATGCAATGGCTGAGTGTTTTTCTAGGTTATTGATCTTATTGGGGTCTGTCGTTCTATGTTTAGCTAAATTCCTATGTTCTGTTAATCTAACTGACCCCGACCGGCTAGTTTGACCTATGTATTTGACTTCACAGTCATTACATGGAATTTGGTAGATTATATTATTTTGCTTAATTGGTTCTATCGGATCTTTTAGCCGACAAAGCTTACCTCTAAGTGAGTTTGTTGGTTTAAATGCCACCCTAATTCCAACCTTGTTGAGAATCCTACGTATGGTTTCTGATGTTCCTTCCTTGTATGGTATCACAATAGAGGTGTGATTTCCTTTCTACTTATGTTGTCACTATTATTTGTATTTGTATTAGTGTTATTATTTTGCTTCTTATGCGTCCGTGTGAATTTCTTAATAAAATGATGGGGATAATTATTAATTATTAACGCTTCTTTTATGTGTTTCAATTCCTTATTTAAGTCCTTACAATGACTAGTGAGTTTCTCAGCTCTGTTATTTAGACATTTGACTAAACCCGCTTTAACTGACACTGGATGAGATGACTTGAAGTCTAGATACCTGTTAGAATGTGTTGGTTTTCTGTAGACGGTAGTATCTAAACCACCATCTATCCTTCGTTTTATTCTGCAATCCAACATAGGTAATTCTCCTTGTTCATTTTCTACTTCGTAAGTGAATTGGATTGCGTTAACTACTGAGTTTATGTGTGTCAAGAAACTGTCGATATGTTCCGATTTCAACACTGTAAATGTGTCATCTACATATCGCCACCATATCTTAGGTGTCGGATTATATGTTCGTAAAGCCATATCTTCCCAACTATCCATAAATATATCTGCTACTATAGGGGATATTGGTGATCCCATTGCTACTCCTTCTGTTTGTCTATATATCTTTCCCTGAAACTTGAAGACTGTCGAGGTTAAGCATAACTGCACTCCTAACATGATTTCACCAACCGATGCCTTGGTTCTTTGAGTAAGTTGTGAGTCAGTATCTAGTTGATTTCTGACTGCCTCCAGTGCCATATTGATTGGTATTTTAGTATAAAGACTTGTTACGTCAAAACTAACCATTTTTTCATCCTCTTCTATGTGCAGGTCATTAAGTTTTTGTTTCAACTCGTAAGAATTTACTAGTCTAGAGTTGGAACGGTCTCTAACAGGACGTAATACTGATGCTAAATACTTTGATATCTCATATGTTGGTGTGTTTCGGAAGTCAACTATCGGCCTAATGGGATAACCTGCTTTATGAACCTTAATAGTACCGTAAATTCTGCTAGGATTATTAGTTTTTGGCATTAAAGTAAACCATTCGGACTTACCTAGAGATGGCTTCAGTCGGCGTATCAGATCTGTTGTAGATTTCTTAATTTTATTCATGACAGTATCTATAGGTTTCTTAATCTCTTCATATGGCCCTGTTTGGATATGTTCATCCATTTTTTTAAGATAATCCGATTTGTCCATAACTACTGTTGAGTTACCTTTGTCAGATTTAGCAATTACTATACTATTATCCTTTCGTAGATTGTTTAAAGCTGAATTTTCCAGTTTCGTTAAGTTTCGCTGTGTCTTCTTTTGTTTTTTAAGTGCTAATGCACACTGCGCTCTAACCTGTTCAGCAGTTGTCACATCCACCGAGCTTAATGCTACTTCTATGCTAGGTATGACATCTTCTGGTTTTAGATGATCTACTGTTATGTTGAAGTTTAGTCCTTTTTCAAGTACTTTCATCTCAGCTGAGCTTAAGGCTTTCGAGGAGAGATTGACTACCCACTTTGTTCTATCGATGTTCGATGATGTTTCCTTTGTAATTTCATTGTTTTCCGAAGCATATTTTTCTTGCATTAGTTTATTGAACTTTTTGATTTGATTTCTTCTAGATTTCTTGAGAGTAGCTAATCTTGCTTTGTCTGATGTTTCTATTATAAATCCATAGTCTCTGCAGTTTACTATCTTCATAATTTTACATTTAAGTTGTTCAATTTTATTCCGAATGGTACTTAATTTCTTAATAATCCTGTGAATTTCTTCTTTCAGCCATTGCATTACATTCATTAACACACAACCACACAATAGGATGGGACAAAACCACTGTACTTAAGTCTAATATAGCTAGGTGGAGAGAGAGATTGATTACTGAATCTTTGTTCATCGAATTCACACCCAACACATGTAATAGGAATGACGCAACACCTATACCAGAAATATGGAAAACTTTACTACCAATCAAAAAACAAAAAACAAAGAGAGATCAGGTGACAGGACTATAAAATCAGATATCGAAAGAAGTGTGATTACATTGATATGATTATGAGCAATAATTTATGCTCGAAACGTAATCAATTAAATAATTCTGTGGTTTTAATTTCATGGAAAAAAAGAAAACCACACGTGGTGGACTCTCAAAGAAAATGGTCAGAATCAATTGCCATATCTCGCAGATAAAACCTTATTTCATCTTCACGGTAATCACTATATTACATTTCATTGTTTACTGTAACCCCTTTCATGATTTGTTTATGGTTCTCCCAAGCTTTTTCTGATATGCTTCCCACTTCTTTCTCTTTCACCTTGTCGCCCTATATCTCAATTTGGCGATGTGAGATATGAATACTTTAAATGATTCCCGGTTATACCAAGTTTTATTTTGATACTGATGGATTGAATTTTATGAAAATAGATTTGGCCAACTTTACGATGTTTTTTTGTTTAAGTTCTCGTATCCACTTCAAAAACTTTTTCCTTTCAGATGACCTGGTTCACAGAAAAACATCTGAGCAAAATATGCTCTGTTATTAAGATAATAATAATAAAATAGTCTTACAGCTTATCACATTTTCTAGCTGTCAGTATCACCTTACTCATACTTTCTAGACTCACAATCAAGAAACTCATCATTAACCTCAACTTCAACAGTGTCAGGGGCACAAGAATCCACTCTGTCATTGGCATTAAGTGTACCAAGTAAATTTAGAAAACGTTTGTTTCTTCGCGGTCAAACTGTCAGTGCTATCAATTCTCAGACAACGCCTGAAGAACAATCAACAGAAACATCATCAACATCGGCAACATCATCAAACAATGCGAAAAACAACAGAAGCTTGCAAACTACACAAAGACAAGCAACTGAAGACAGTTCAAGTCTACGTTCACCAAATGAATTTTTAGAAACAAGATCATTTATCGAGAAGCATTCTACAGAACAAAGTAAGTGAGATGCATAAATGGTCATTTTCTATGTGGTGTTTATGGAAATTTAAGTCAATAGCTTTCATCTCCAAGTCACCATAGACTTATTTGCATTGTAAGCAAGTCATAAACCACTACTGCTTCAAAATCATGCCCAGGTAATCGCTGATAGTAAACGGTAGAAAACTACTCAACTTTTGGCAAGTGAACTAAGTTATGAACCATATATATATATATATATATATATATATATATATATATATATATATATATATATATATATATATATATATATATATATATATATATATGACTTAAGAGGAAGGGATAAGTATATTTTTTCAGATGAAGCCAACTCAGTGGTGAAATTCCTAAAGTTTTATGAGCTTTGATACTGGCTCCCAGCATCATCTGTCAAAGATGAGTGCATTTATTAACGAGTTTACCACGGTCAAACACTAAATGAATTTTGGAAACGGTGTGAGTTTCAAGTAGGACTGTCTTTTTTGTCTGGATTACCTAACTTCTGATAACAGAGAAGAGCTCATCTGTTTATTTGCCATTAAATACGCGTAGAAACGTATGGCTTTACTTGGTTCTAAAACACAAGACACTAGAGATGGTTGGGTTGTTTCATCTCTTTGTTGAAAAATAATACTATTCAAATCACCTTGTCACTCACTGGCTATGCACTTAAACTTCTGTATATGAGCTATTACACATGCAATAGCTCCTGACACTAGATATTTCGATGAGTGGGATCTTGTTTTCCACATGAGATTTCATTGTTTAAAACAAAAAGTAGACTTATTCTTTATAGTTTTAAGTCACTGAACAATTTCGTTAGTGTCAAATGGCACAGCAGAATCTCCTTGCTGAGTTGTTTATTCATTTTACCAAAACACAGTTAATTTCTGCTGATCAATTACGAATTTACAGCTACGTCTTCTGCCATCTGACGACCAATTTTTGTACATAATCCGGTCTCACAGGAAGTTATTCAAAGTTTACAAATCACAGACTCTAATAATGAAGCAGAAAAAGTGAGACTGAGAGGTAAACAAACTTAAAACAAGGTGAAATTTCCCATTCCAGTCTCACCTCATAGTGTCATTCTCACCTCGGAACGTGTATTTTATCAAAACTTGATATGATTCTTTCTTCTTCCCAGAGAATTAAAATTACTGTATGTTCAGCTAACCAGACCTAAGATTTTCTATTCACTCTGGAGGTTTTCCAGGATTTATTCTTTGATTTCAGTGGGAATTCATCGTGGAGTAACATCAGAAATCTGGAAGCACTGGACAGCTCTTTTTGTCTTAATATGGGACTCCTCATAATTGCGCACCCATGAACCCTCAGAGATCGGACCCATTCCTCCAGGTCCCGTGGCCAGCACTTTACCCTTGAGCCACTGGGTCAGAATCCAGTGGTCTATATTTTCCACTTCTATCAGTTCATGATGTAGGGCAACCTCTATGCAATGCCACCATTGAGTGACTGTCCTCATGTTCGACTTAATTGGCTCTGCTGGCCACGACTTCTCATCAGAACTTCAGAAATCACCTCTAGAGGCTAGTCGCCAATGAGCGCTAAATTCATTCATTCATTAGGTTTGTGAAGATTTATTCCTTGATTTCAGGTAGGATGAAGTGAATGTAACTCACACATATAAGCATACATACCTCGTGGTGATAATATTTAGGACTACCAGTTATCTAACCGGATTTATTTTCAACAATTCTATTTATTACTCTTATTCAGCATCAACGCTTTTGTACTCATCAACGTCTGCTACTGATATGACCAATAAAGGAAGTGGTACGTTTGAAGATAAAGTTGACAAGTCAACAATTGAAAAAAGGAAAGCTCACTTTCGTTCGCAGCATCATAGCAGACAGCTGGATGGACCACAAATGGCCAAGTTGAATGGATTGATTAAATCAGCTGACAGGGATCCACTTAGTGTTGAGAGTGTAGATCAAACAACTGAAATAAGAGCTGAGTCACATAATTTATCACCGGATCTAAGACATTCAATTGAAAGACCCACAATCAAGACGAATCTATTATTATGGTAAGTAGCTTGATATTTTCCAGTCAGCAGTAATTGAACTACTTACTATTCAGATTTTAGTAAACCTGTAAAACAGTTGGTTCATTCTATCCTTTTCAACTAAATTTTAAAATAGTTTTTAATGAAATATACTGAGAAACAGTGTGGATAGTTGGTTACATGCATGTTTCATCCATTCAGGGTTGGTTTCATATTCAGTCTATTTAAAGAAGTTAATCACGGTTCTTAAACTTTCCTCCACTCCAGAAAAGTAGTGATAGAAGGAGGAGTAGTGTTTGCGAAACCGGTCGTTAATGGAACTGCTAAATGTGGTCTAGCCCCTGAGTTTCCCTTGACATACTACGTCTTCGTCTTACTCCCACTTTTTTTACTTATTAATTACCACTTGATGATAATTGTTTCCATGAAAATAAGTGGGGAAATTATTAATTCTACTTCCTTAAGGTCAACTTCAGAAAAGCATTGAGTAAGTATGAGAGAAGTTCATCAGTGACTAACCCATTCACCTACAAACGATAAATAATAACTTTTTTAGGGGGGGGGGGGTGATGAAGATTTAGGCTAGCAAAATGTTTTCATCATATATTACATCAGATTTCTGCTTTTGTATTTGTTTTAATTATTCAACTGTCAAGTCATCGTAAAATGTACTCTCCTGCATTCTCAAAATGTCTCCAACTTGTCGTCATACAAGTTAACAACAAAAGTGCGGAAAAATATCACGGTAAACGGCAGTTAGCTCTTGAGTTCACAACAGTTCATCACATAAGTAATAAAAGGATGGTTAACATGAATTGCAAATATTTATACTGGCTGAATAATCCCTACCCCGCCCTGCTCCGCCCCCTCCCACCAAACTAACGAATGCTTTCCTATTTGTCCCCTCATGCAACAACATACCGACAAACTAAATGATAACCTATGAATAATCGGTAGTTGTGTATTATTACTTATCATAATGCTACTATTAACATTATTTAAGTGCTATGGTTACTTATTTTGAAAATACTGTACAATGAGTAAATTTTTAAATATCACACTGAGAATCCTATACTGTAATAAAAACTGTTGTCTGGAATAAAGTGATTGTTATTGTTGTTGAAAGTCCTAGGAAGCCTTTCAAAATTGTCCAGGTGTTTCTCCTTCAGAATCATTTTCGTGGCACACTGGAATCATCTAAACTAAAGCAAGAAGTGAAAGTCTTGGCCTTATTTTCTGAACTGGCCAGATATGCTCTTCGTTACGGGACCATAAACCATACAGAAATAAATAAAAAGTCAGTGTAATATTATTACGCATAGTCCTAGGTACAATGTTTTTTAAAATAAATAGAATGAGCCATCCAATCACATATGTCTGAGGTTCCCACTTCCCCACGTACCCATAGGTGATCGTTATAACCTATGAGAAATCTAAGACTAATATATACGTTTCTTCTATATTCTTTAATTTTCAAATAGCATTTTCTGTCAGTTTAACTCGTACACGTTTCTAGTTAGTGAATGCCAAATTGTGTATCTAAGTGCTGGATAATCTACCATCAGAGCGTTTTACTGAAAGCAAGAGACAAACGGAAGGCGTTTCATGTATATGATTGTCTATAGTAGAAGTCCCTCGGTGTTGCAGAAACACTCTGAATATGAATGTAGAAAAGCAGGATTAGTAAGAAAGTGGGCCACCTGTAAGTTGCCTACAAGTAATTTTTCACTGCTAGTTTGTCACTTAGGATTTTTTTTAAATCAGCTGCATGATTTCACTGTTAACGTTTGAACATCCTTTATGGATGACTAGATTCTCTGAGCTAAAGTTAATTATCAACTGGTCTCTGTGCTTAAGGCTTACAGGTGAAGTTGGACAAAAATCTGAGCTGTCATAACTTTCGAACTAACGGTCGTAACCTATTGAGCTACGGGATCTTATAGTTCTGTCCTAAAATCCTGTAAACTGACAACTGAAAGGTCACTGATCTGAACGCCGTAGTATCTCAGTTGTTCTTTTCACTTTACTTATAATCTTTACACATAAAATACGGTCTGCTAACAAAAGGCTACTTCGAAAAGTCTAACCAACGGTACTTCGTTAATTTTACTCTTTTATCATCGGTTATAGAGTATAGCTTAATCAAGTAGATGTCATAAAGAATACAGTCATGAACAAGTGAACGATATATTTTATTTTGTATATTCATCTCCTGTTACAGTTTATTTCCTCACCAGTTTCATTTCCTGCAAACTTCATTATTAACTTTGTTTCTGCTCCTTAGAACTGTTTTCAGTTTGCGCAACTGTATAGAGTCGAAAATGAAATACCATAAGCATGGTCCCTGAAACAATTGTGTCACTCCGTCCTACAAGCATTATTAGGCATACTGCCTTTCAATGAACTGATGTGACTACTACAACAACTGAGAACTTTAGGGTCACACTGACAATAAATCAAATATTCTTATGTTCTTGATTAAGCACATATATTCAAAAGATTACACATATGCATTACCAATTACTGTCAGTGGATATTTGGATCTAGGTTAGATGAAACTAACATGAGTCCCAAGAAAAATTCAGGCAAATCATACCCACTAACTTCGAACCTTATGTTTTTTCCTTCATAAAAATGATAGTACTGGACAACGAAATATTCCATTGATGCGTGTGGTTCAATCAGTTCGCCATACAAAACGCTCTGGAACTGGTTTGATTATCCGAGAAACTTGGATGGTTCACAGGACGAACAAAGATCCAGTCGTAAGTGATAGCTTAGGAAGAAATTTATTCAATTCATTTCTTCTATTAAGAATTCTATATCATTTTGATTATTACTTTGACCATATTTTTATGTAACACAGTGTGATGTATTAAACACCACTTAAGAAGGAATCGATAGGCTATTATCCTTAAACATCACTCATAGGTAACTCCATTAACTGCTGCAAGCAAAATACAATATATAAAACCATTTGTTTTCAGTCAAGTCCGTTGCAACTTTAGGATGACTGCTGATGAGGTCATGAAATCAGGGGAATTCGGCTTTTTCTTAAGAATTTTTTATTTTCTATTTACTCAGTTATGCATGCATACATACATAAATAAGAAATTGTAACATTTAAATAGGACACATTTAATTTTCCATTCTAAAGCATAAGGCTGAAATACCTTCCAGATAATCAAATTTACATTCATTGCTCACTGAAATGCAGCCAGTTTCAGCTTATCTGGTCCTAAAAGCTAAAAAATACCTAACGATCACTTTGCAATATGGTCACCAGGCTAAGAGACTCTTTCAGTTCAGACGATATTAGGTTATTTGAGGTGTTCATCAAGTAGCCTTGCTTAACACAGCTTTCGCCTTTGTTGGCACTCATCAGAAGGATTTGTCTGCTACCTCAAATGAAGTTGATACCTTTCCAGTGTGTCACTCCCTCTTCCAAGACGTTAATCACGGACCAAATAGTTCACCGTTAATGTCTGTGACTTCAACACTGAATGGTGAATCTTCGGATCTCTCAAAAAACATCAGTTCCTTTGAGGTTGTCGATGCACTTTGGTAACGAGTGCTAACAAACACAGAACCTTGATCATTTACGGCTTCCTACCAATTTCCTTGAACTTATTAACATGATCACTAATCTTGCTGAATCCACTGGGGTATACTGTAGTTGGTTTGTCAATCAACTTACTGCAATCTTATCTTCATTCAGTCTCTTGCTGGTTGTCACTCATCGACCAGCTTTAGATGAAACTATAAGAATTCAATCTTCCTTCTGTAACTCCAACCTGCTGTTCTCAGTCAGTATTATAAACTAAGCTAGTGACACTACAAGTAATCATGTGGAAAAAATGGCTTTTGCACTGAAATTAACGAGTTGAGGACGAAAAATATAACTATCATATCTCAAGTCCCCCTCATATTCTGTTGAATAATGACACATTTTGTAACAATAATCCACACTGAGCAGTTAGTTTTGTACAAGTTTCTAAGTAAGCGTGAATTTCAAAATTAAGTATTCCCTTAATAAAATCTTTTCATTATTCCACTAACAAATTTATTACTATCATCACTGAGTGCTCATCTTCCCCTTTAAAAATACTTGGACTCATACATCTCAGCTCATTATTAAGTCTTCAAAAAGTTGGTTTGAAGAGTGTGAAGCTAAGACAAAAGCAGAGGCTTATATTTTTTTACTGATTTTCAATATTTATCGAGATGATATCAATCAGTAGTGAAATTGGCCTTCAAATCAGTCCTTTTCTCACAACCCCTTCAGATGAGTAATAATAATTTTATTGTATAGTAATGACTGATTACGGTTACAAAATGAAAATTTGATGAATTTTTAATGAAAACCCAAAACCTGTGGCAGCAGTTAGTGCAATGGACCTTAAAAGCTTGACATAACAATCTGAGAAAGCCTATTTGAACAGGAAGATAACTTACCTGAATCAGTAATGATATTCACTTGAGTGGGATCATAAGCATGATCCAAGTTGTTGAATGCTTAGAAACGTTTCCTTATCTGGCCTTTTTAAATACTACTTATCTAAACTCGGTAATAAATTTACCACCTGATCGTTGTTTCTCCGATGGAAGCATACATTTTACATTATCCTACATGGAGAATTAGTGAATTACTGCGCACTTCAAGGTGACGGCTTCACAATAACACACATCGATTCAGCTTTATCGAATAAGTGAGACGCGTAGCACTAGTCCGCTAACTCATATGAGCTTATGATTGGAATCCTACAAGTAATCTCGTATTTCAGCAACTTTATGGCATTCAGGACTTCCTTTCTGCTCTTGTCGGAGGGTGCGTGTCCACTGATAATTCTCAGGCTGCTGGTTGTATTTCTCATGGACCTGCAGTTGGCGGCAATGACTGATTCGAGAGTTTTTTGAAGTGGTCAACTCATCGTTTCCTTTCCTTCTCCTCTGTGATGGTAACTAAGTTTCCTTCACTATCTTTCATTGGCTTCATCTGAGTTGATCTCTTCTCAGATAGTAAGTGACCTGGTTGGTTATTTGATATAATGTTGTCAGGTCTCTGTCTGTCTCTGCTACATGCAGCCTGATCTGCTCCGCTTGCCAGCGTGTTGTGGAAGTGTCTTTTGTCTTTGTGCTCACTCTTCTTCACTTCTTTTTCCAGTGTAGTGTTTTATATGTTGTGTTCAGTTCCTCTTTTCTTTGTTCATCCCTGCACCGCACTGGTTCATCTTCTGCTTCATCATCTTCCTATCCCTCCTAGATCAGCTTCCGTGTATCCGTCGACATCCATTCATTGTCTTCTTTCTTCTTCCTTCCTAACACAGTTATGCAGGTTTCTTTCCACATCTCTTTTAAGGAGTTACAGTGTTCATCCATACAGGTTTCCTCTGGGATGGTACACAATATCCTGATGGCTGACTGACGTGAAGATGTCCTCTGCAGTTTCGTCTTTCAGTTCGTGTTCTGCATGTTCAACTTCAAATGTGGTCTATCACCTGCTTTTTAAAAGGTTTTCAGCTTGATTTGGTAAGCTTTTGCACTAGATAGTGTATGGTGTGAACTTACATCTGCTTCCCTTCTTAGACTCACCTTATGTCCAATAGACTGCATCTCCACTTTCTTCACATTCAGATGAAGTCGATCTGACTTTGAGTGTGTCTCGGCGTCTGGTGAAATCCATGTCGTTTTATGAATATCCTTGTGTTTGTACACACTGCCTGACTCCAATCACCAATTCGTTGAGTGCACAGAAGTCAGCAGACAGTTCTCCATTCTCCTTCATCACTTCACCGAGTTCCTCTTAACCCAAGATCACTTCTCTTCCTGTGTTGTTCGCTATCACTTTGGTTGGCATTCATGTCACCCCACACATTAGAATTTTGAAATCGCCATCGCCAACTGGAGTGGAGTCTTGTCCAGTACTGATTGCAGTTGTCTGTAGAATTTCTTCTTCTTCTTGTCTTCATCTGCATTATTTGTAGGTTAGGTGCATAGCGTAGCATTGTTTGATTATGACTTCCCTTCATTTTGAGTTGAATCCATCTTGCTGTCATGATCCTGATCGCGAAGGAGGAGATTGGTTCCCACTGCATGAGAGAGAGCCTTTGATGTTCTTGGGGACATGATGATAGCCACTCCAAAACTCGGTGTGCTTGTGGTTGTCGTCTTGCTGACAATATTGGATTAGATTATTGACTCTCCAGTTGGCAGTTTGGAGAATCCACTTCCATCCCATCTACTCTCGTGGATTCTTAGCACTTTTATGCTACACCTTCTCGTCTCTTTTGCAATCTGTGCAGCCTTGCTAGGTTCAAGTATTTTGTGGACATTCCATGTCCCTATGCTTACTTTCGTTCTCATCGAGAGAAGACAAATCAGCCGACTGGCTTCCTGAAGGTTTTCACCAACTGGCATCATTTCGTCTCTCCGATTCCAACGAGGAATAAGTTTGTTTTTATGTTTTATATTTTCTTTGTGCTTAGAAGTTTCTTTAGCGATTGGATTGGTTTTCTGTGGCAGGGTTGCTAGCCGTATGCCCGACCTTTTCTCCTTATCCATGCTTAGGACCAGGTAGTAACTAGTGAACGAGTTACCTTGGCGAGGTTTGTTAGTCGACTACGCCGGAATAAATTGAACATAGTTATTAAATGCGTACTGCTGAAAATTTCGAAACTCGATTGAAATGACTACCACTTTTTCTTACGTTCTCAATATCCCTCGCTCTTTCTGATGCTATTTTGTGGTTTCAACTCCTAAAGAACAGTCATTTTGCAATTATGGATGAATAGTAGCTGGCATTGTAATTCAGAATACGGGTTTTGTCTTATTTGGGACTCGTCATCTTGATGTACTTGTATGTCAATGCGATGAGTGTATTCCTACTAGGTCTAGAACCCAGGACTCACTGCTTCAATAACCTGAGACTTATGTTGCAAGTTATGCTCACACAAAATCCTGCATTACTCTCAAGGAAATGAACACGATTGCAGTAGCAACTACAAACCTTCGGAAATACTTCAGTATAATATTCTTACCTGCTTTATTCCATTTTAATCCGCTTTTATGTTTACTCTTATTTTTTCAACTGATAATGAAAAAACAGGAATTAGGAATGAGACGATATGGTTCTTTTTCCGTTAAAAAAAGTGAATTTTAATCTATTTTCCTGTCTGCATTCATTTCGTCTTTCCTTCCACCCAATTCCACCCATTTTTCTTATTTGGACTAATGGTATCTATTCTATGTGGTGTCTGTTTCTAGACACTTGATCTCAGCTTAATTCTAACATTTATGGGTCAGTCTGAAGAATAAGATGTTGCTTTTTCAGTTCTAGAACATTTTCACGATTTGGTTATGCTGCTATTTAAATTAAATGTGTACAAAAATATTTGCTTAGCAAAGAAAGGTTATCATACTTTTGTTTCTTGGTACATCTTCTTCTACCGAACTAGTCATGCATCGTGTCACGTACGGAAAATGAAGCGGTAACAGACCTCATGCATCTTAAAATACTGACAGACTTACCCATCTACACCTCTGGAAAGAAGTTGCTGATATAGATTATTGTACACTTATTTATGTATATAATCCCAACGTCTTAAGAAAGATCACGACGAGAAGTTTCTGAATATTTACTATGTTTTACACAGCCTCCTTAGTAGGATCATTCAGCACGAAGATCCTCCCAACATATTTATAGCAAATACTTTCAGAATAATTTATAATTTATAGCGATACTTAGGATTCCATTGCTTTGGAATTG